CGGGCAATATATTACTAGCAGCACAACTAGAATAAGCGTTTTTAAGTCACAGCATCCGTCAGAAGAACTGCCAAAACTCTTTCTATAGCATAAAATAAATTCAGTCATCAATGTCAAATCAATTATGCTCCAAAATAATGTTTTTAAGTCAATATTTTAGAACTTGAAAAATGTTTTCCACAGAAAAAAATACTACAAATGAAGGTTCATTTGTTGGTTTACTCACGTTTCAACAAACATTTAATGAGCACAAATGAAATACAGATATAGACATCAATCACTGCCACAAGGAAAAGCAAATAAGCCAAAGGAACAGAATGGAAACACACATGTACTGTCACCTGATTTATGAGACGAGTAACACTGCAGCGCAGCAGGAAAAGAATAGTCTTTGCAATAAATGCGAGTGTCACCTGGATACTTATAAGGGACGAAAACAAATCTTAACTTCCTATCTTACAACATATACTACAATCGGCCCCAGATGGCATGTAAATCTAAATAGAAAGAGTGAAACAATAGAGTTGTTAGAAGAAAACATAGAACGTCGTCAGGAACTCAAGATAGTCAAAGACCTTAAACAGGACAGAAAAAGCATTTTTTCATGAGATGAAAATGTGAAGATGAACAGCATTAAAATTTAAAATTTCTGTTCATCAAAGACACCAGTAAGAGAATGAAGGAAAGCAACAAAGTGGAAGGAAATATTTACAATACTATATTCCAAAAGTAGTCATCCAGAACAGATACAAAGCTCTTACATATTCAGAAGAAAAAGGCAGACAACCCAACAGGAAAACTGGAAAAGTCTTCAGTAAGCACTTAACTCTGAGAGGCTACCCAAACTGTCAGTCAACATATTGAACAGCATCTAACTCTATCAGTCCTCAGGAAAATACATATTAAAAGCACACTTCCCAATGTCACTAACCACTGTCAAGAACGGCTAAGTTTTATAATTAAAAGAAAAACTGACTGACACCACCAAGTACGGAAGAGAAAGTAGAGGGGCAGGAACCGGCCCACGCCGCATCCCGATGACGGTGCATCCCGATGACGGTGCAGACCGGCAGTCACTTTACAAAACTGTTCGGCAGCATCTACCGTATCCATTAGCTTTGAGCTCCTTGGCTTCCAACTAGCGCACTTTATTTAGCCCAGGACTCCGAGGCTCGGCAGCGTGGGCGCTCCTCTCACCTGGACTCGCCCACGCGTCCACTCAGCCAGGGGGACAGCTATGCCCGGTGACTGAGCACAGTTCTGGACAGGCCCCGGCAGGGCGACCACAGGGAAGACAGCCAGGGGTCCCTCACTCCTTACAGGGGGTGCCCGGGGGCGTCTCCAGCTGCCGAGGGCTTGCAGGTGCCCCCCAGCCCTGGACAGGAAGTTCTCGCCCATGGGCTCTGCCCTCAGTGGGGCCGCCGGACTAGGGTAGGGGTGCTGTCCACCCTCGGGAGCTCCCCGCGGGATCGGGGGGCCTCACTCCCGCTGACCTCCCCCACTCCATCCTCCGTCGGGTCCCATTTCCTCCACTGCCTGTCCTGGGAGATCTCCTGCACAAATTCTGAAGAGACCTGACCTAAGGGCGTCACCGAAAGCGTCCCCACTGTTTGTTCGCTCCTGATGGGAGCGAGGCTCTCAGTCAGCACCTAGGTCCCGGGTGGGAACGGGTGGGGGGCTGGTGACCCGATGGAAGGCCTGGGAGAGCCGTCCCCTTCCGGGTCCCACAGCCGTGCTCATGAAAAAAGAAAAAAATTTTACATAAAGACAGTCATGCATGAAATATACGTTAACAAAGCAAGAAAGCTTCCCAAAAGCTAAAGGTTAAAAAGGTTAAAGAGTAATTTAAAAAATAATACAGGAGGAATTGTATTATTTAATTGCTAGCTTTACCAAGTAAATTCCTACTTGAATTATGCATTCCTAGGGAAAGTATTAACACACTCCTAGGAAAAGAAAGAATATAATTGGGGGAGAAATATATTTTTTCAACAATAACTAGAAAATTAAAAATCTAGAACATCTAATGAATCAGAAAGTAGGTGCTGACAGGCATGCCAGCAACATAAAACATGTGCCCTTAGTACAGAGCACAAAATTCACTAGCTATAAACCGATCATTCAGAGGAAGAAAGAAACAGAAGTGCATTGCACATTCCCACACAAAACTAAAATCGAAGCAAAATCGAAGCTTTTGAATACACTGGGTATTTAAATTATTCTACTATGATCAAGAGATACAGTTCAACCTGATTAATGCAGATGCGTTATAAATATATAAAAACGCAAGACTTTCATATTGTACACTGTTAGTGCATTCTTTGAACAATAAAAATGTGAAACAAAACCCCAGGCAGTCCTAGTTTTAGGGCATTACCTCAAAATATTTTAGATGTTTTATCTTAATTTTTTATATGAATGAAAATTTTAATCCTCTGAACAGTTAAATAATTGTGAAAAGTACTCTATGTACTATGTGCTAAGAAATGTACAGCAGAAGTTTCAAATGGCTAAGGGCAAAGGCAATTTTAAAAGGACAGCCCAGAATTTTATTTTTCACTTTGATACTGCTTTCTGGCAAACAGAATGGGTCCTTCTGAGGGATTTCCTGTGCTCCTCTCCCACACCAGTAACTCAGCACTCCCCTCCAGTGGCAGCTCCCCTACCCCTTCAAATGTGAAAACGGTCTTCTTATTGCCCTCTCACTATCAATTCTTTCTTCTCTTTCATTAGCATACTCCCCAAATGCCATGGAGATTCACACTGCTTTAAATCCTTCCGGGTCCCCTCCCCTCTAACTGTGGCCACTGCGCTGCCAGCCCCCTCACTCTGAAGTCTCTGAAGACTAGATCTGTCCCAGGCCCTGGATACAGCCACCACCTACAGCAGTGCGGCTGCAAAACAAGACGCCAGCCCTGGAGACTCACTCATGGAGCTGAAAACCTTGAACTCCCCAATTAATCTTACCGCCTCTCTTAACCCTACCAGTCTAGAATAACACGTTGAAACCCCTGAAATGCTTCCCCCATGAGACAATCAATTAACTGACAGAGACACAACCTTCCCATTTTCCTGCAACCAAACCTTCAGGCACCCTCCTATTCAGCCCACCAATCAGCCACTAAGCATTCTTTATTCTCTTTGAAATGTGTCTCTTTCCTATCCTTTCCGTCTTCACAGACATTACACCACTGTGGAGTCCACCGCAGACACCTAAAGGAGGGTTGGCTCCCTTTCTCCGTGTCTATGCACACCCACTGTGACCTTCTTAATACCACCTAGTCACATGTCCTAAAGCACTGCCTTCATTAAAGATTGGTATTTATATGGGATTTCCCTGGTGGTGCAGGGGTTAAGAATCCACCTGCCAATGCAGGGGACACGGGTTTGGGCCCTGGTCTGGGAAGATCCCACATGCTGCGGAGCAAGTAAGCCTGTGTGCCACAACAACTGAGCCTGTGCTCTAGAGCCCCCGAGCCACAACTACTGAGCCCACCTGCCACAACTACTGAAGCCCGTGAACCACAACTACTGAGCCCGTGTGCCACAACTACTGAAGCCCGTGCGCCTAGAGCCCGTACTTCACAACAAGAGAGGCCACCGCAATGAGAAGCCTGCGCACCGCAACCAAGAGTAGCCCCCGCCCGCCGCAACTAGAGAAAGCCCGCGCGCAGCAACAAAGACCCAACACAGCCAAAAATAAATAAATAAATTTATTTTTAAAAAAGAACATTGTTAGTAGGAAGGGTTTTAGGTTTTTTTAAAAAACTAACAACACCTGATGTCAGTGAAGAAGTAAGAAATAGACAGTCCTATATACTTCTGGTTGGAGAACAAATTGGTATACACCTTCTGGAGGGCAATGTACCAAGACCTAACATAACCTAAGAAAGCAACCAAGTAGGTATAAAAGGACTCTTTTATGGAATTTTATTGCAGTATTACTTATATTAAAAATAAACTGGGAGCAACCTACATGCCCAAAAATGTCAGAATGTTTAAATAGGTTATGAACTATCTACTCAAAAGAAAAATTAGTGCTACCATTAATATTCATGCTAATAGAACTATTATTAACTTATACCAAACTTAAAACAGCACATAATAAAATAGTAATTATAATATGACCCCAATTTTGTTTAAATCTTAATTTTATAAATACACACAGAAAAAAATGAGGGAAAGATATATTTAACAAAATGTTAATACAAATTTTATTCATCTGACTTTATGTGTTTTTCAAATTTTTCAAGTTACAAATTATTTTAATAATAAAGTGGGATTAAAAAAATTGATCAAATACCTTTTCACTTCCTGAAAGCATTTAAACAGCATATATGTAAAGTGGAATGTGGAGGGGAAAAAAAATTAATCTCACTACTGCCTAAAATTTAAAAGCTAAACTTCTCAGTTTAGTATTCAAAGCTCCAATGCAGCCCAACCTGATGGCACTGCCCTCTAACCATAACTGAGTCCCGGTCACGGCCACACCTTTCTTCACGTCTCTTTCTGCCTCTAGTTCCTGCCCCCTCCTCCCTACCCACCCAGAAACGTTCACAGCTGGCCTCTGAACATGAAAACCGCCGTCCACGATGGCGGCTCATCCTGAGGCCGCCTGGAGAATGTTTCTAACCCAGCTGACCTTGCTCCTCCAAGTCCTCCTCCTCTCTCCTCCACCTCAGGATTCTACTTTCTAGATAACTCACTTTGGTTATATAGTTTGACCATACACTATCTTAAAGTTTATTTAACTGTTTCATGTGTATATCTCTTATTTCACCAACAAGAAAGTCAGCTTGTCGAGGGCAGGGACCATTCACGCTTCTTTGGAATGTTATTTCTCTTTCCTGTTCCCCAAGTCCTTCCCAGTGCTCACACAGTACTAAATGTCTAACAGCCAGTAATAGTCATTGTTTAGAATTAAATTAGTGAAGATGTTTTCCAAATACAACATGATTCTGCCACATCAACATACATACATGAAACAAATACTTTTTTACCCCAAGATTCCAACTATTAAGGCGAGCTTCGATGTCACTGTCATCCAAAGAAAGAGCAGATTTCCTCGAATGAATTTCCTAAAGTACAAAAGAGAAAAAGAAAAGCAGGATGAAAAAAAAGACAGGATGGAGGGAAGAAACAAAAGTGGAAAGGAAGGAGGGAAAGAAGGGAGTGAGAGAAGGAAGGAAAGAAGGGCAGAGGGGAGGGAGGGAGGGAGGGAGGGAGAAAACAGGACAAAATATATGTCATTCAGAGTAATAAGTTTTGTGTGCCTTTTTTAGTAATGCTATACTACCCTCAGAGGAAAGGATTATGTTACAACGGAGTTAGTTCTCAATTCTAAGTAATGACTGTTTATTACAGCTGCTTAAGGCTATGAGAGGCCTTCACAATATATTCACACAGCAACTAGATTTCAGAAAAAAAAAAATCAAAAGAATATTTTAAAAAATAATCCAGACCCTTCTCTTTAAGTTCTTTCACAAGAAGTTTTAATTGTGGTATACCACAGTAACTTTAAAGGGGGGTAAGGAAACACTTGAAAAAATGATTATTTACTCTCATTAAAATTAGTTAACAGGGCTTCCCTGGTGGCGCAGTGGTTGAGGGTCTGCCTGCTGATGCAGGGGACGCGGGTTCATACCCTGGTCCGGGAAGATTCCACATGCCGCAGAGCGGCTGGGCCCGTGAGCCATGGCCGCTGAGCCTGCGCGTCCGGAGCCTGTGCTCCGCAACGGGAGAGGCCACAACAGTGAGAGGCCCGCATACCGCAAAAAAGAAAAAAAAAAAAAAATTAGTTAACAGGGAAGTTTGTATTGCTGTCCAAGAAGCTTTTTGTTCTTAAATTAATTCTCATTCATACACTGTACATAAAGAGAAATAAGCTTTGGATTCACATCATGAAAACATAATTATTTATTATGAAAAAGTAATTCTTCTTAAAAAAATTAAGGGACTTCCCTGGTGGTGCAGTGGTTAAGAATCTGCCTGCCAATGCAGGTGACATGGGTTCGAGCCCTGGTCCAGGAAGATCCCACATGTCGCGGAGCAACTAAGCCCGTACGCCACAACTACTGAGCCTGCGCTCTAGAGCCTGCGAGCCACAACTGCTGAGCCTGCGCACCTAGAGCCCGTGCTCTGCAACAAGAGAAGCCACCACAATGAGAAGCCTGCGCACCGCAACGAAGAGTAGCCCCCGCTCACCGCAACTAGAGTAAGCCCGGGCGCAGCAACAAAGACCCAACACACAAAAATAAATAAGTAAAAATAAATAAATTTATAAAAAAATAAAATAAAATTCCATGCTCTTTTCCCTCCCATATAATTTATATTATAAACTTATCAAACCAGATTAAAATTATAATTAACTGAGGACAGCCAAAGATCTGTACCCAGGAATGGACAATGACCTGAAAGCCCTACAAACTTAGAAAGTAAGTCTGTGGAAAATAATAATGTACATCCTACAGTACAGCCAAAATATTTTATTTAAATTTAAATTCTTGGCATAGCATTTTCATGCTTTTAGAAAACCTCACTACTAACAAATAAATCTATTTATCTATGGTCATTTAAATTATCTTAAGTGATGGAAAATACATTAAAATGTTCTTCAGACACAGATGCAGAGAACAAACGTATGGACACCAAGGGGGGAAAGCCGCGGTGGGGTGGGGATGGTGGTGTGCTGAATTGGGCGATTGGGATTGACATGTATACACTGATGTGTATAAAACTGATGACTAATAAGAACCTGCTGTATAAAAAGATAAATAAAATAAAATTCAAAATTTGAAAGAAAAAACAATGTTCTTCATATTTTACTGAATCTCCAGATTTCTACTGAACAAAATGTTGGGTTTATTATATACACTATATTAAAATTCATTATTGCCTCTACTGTTGGTCCCTTGCTTTTTGAATGTGTGTGTGTGTATGTGTGAATGAGAATGTCTTTTAAAATGCACCTCCCTTATTTATTTTGAGTAAATATAATGATTGATAATAAATTCACAAATATCTAAAATGTGCTGCTCTTTATATTAAGATATTTATGAAAGTTCCAAACTGGACCCCTCCATCACTGGAGAAAATGGAAGGAGTTATGTTCAGAGCAAATGTTCTGAAACAGTCGTGTTTCACATTCGACTTGCTTGTAACTAAAAGTCTCATCACCCAAGACAAGCTGAGCTATGCTGTAGGAAGCAGGCAGAGTCCTCTTTATCAACCTGACTGGAATGCTCATTAGCTCCATGGTCAAACCAAATCTATGTTAAGTAGTTACATGCAAGAGAAGTATTCATATTTCAAGATAGGAACAGTTCACCTTCATCAGGAAGGCAGTGTTCCCTACTTCACTACAAACTAATCCCAATTTCTTAAGTTTATGACCATTGTGCGTCTAATCATTTTTAGACATATACTGAGTAAAAGGGGAAAAGTTAACTAAAAAACAAAACCTTTTCAAAGTTATTCTTCAATGCACAGGAAAAATGATAGACTGATTAACACGATGCCTCAGAATCTTTGAGAAAGCAGAAGGAACGCTATGGAACATACCAAATACACCACTTTCTTTGAAACCAGGATATTCACCAAAACCTTCAGACTTTATTGTTTGTAAGTAATCGTTGGAATTTAACAATATGAAACTAAAAATATGTGGAGATTTTTTTTTTTTTTGCGGTACGCGGGCCTCTCACTGTTGTGGCCTCTCCCATCGCGGAGCACAGGCTCCGGACACACAGGCTCAGCGGCCATGGCTCACGGGCCCAGCCGCTCCGCGGCATGTGGGATCCTCCCGGACCAGGGCACAAACCCATGTCCCCTGCATCGGCAGGCGGACTCCCAACCACTGCGCCACCAGGAAAGCCCTATGTGGAGATATTTTAAAACAAGAAGCAAACAAACAAAAAAAACAAAAGTAGAATCTGATCTTACATAACTCCTTGGGGTAATAATCTGTCCATCATCTCTGTAGGTTGGACTCATAGACTGTGATCTGGTTTGGAGCTTTGCAATGCATTGTTCCCTATTGAGAGACCAAAACAGTCACAGTCAGAATTGGGGGAATTCAGAGGACACAGGGGTATTCAAATCTAGGACTACAATATTCTTTTCCTTTTGGAAATGAGATGACTGTTTATATTAACAATGACGTTTCAATAGCAAAGAAAAAAGAAATACGAATAATAACCACTTGTATTTATTAAACTATAAGTAAAATGTCACCTAAATGCCACATGCTTACTTACAAACAAATGCTCTTGTTAAGTGGGACTATAATAAACCACATGCATTTCCCCTTTTCCTACGTGTAGGAAGAGAAAAACTGAAGCATACAGTCTCAGAGAAGATAATTGTTTTCAAAGGTTAGCAAGTTTTGTTGGATTCATGTTTCACATCATGATGAAGTCTTAAAATATATAAAATAACAAAACTTTCACATAGCTGAAAGTCTGAATTAATTTGAAGCCATCTCAGAAACCACAGATAAATCAAAGTCCTAAATTTAAAAATATGCCATGTTAATTTAGGTAAAACATAAGTAGAGCATAAACAGGAAAATAGTTTAAGCTTCCAGATGAATTAGAACAAAAAGATTTTTCTCCAATATAAAATATAGTACAAAAAGTGCCATTCTCAATACTCTACTTTAGCCTAGAGTCTCCCATATATTTTTTCTTTTTTAAAAAAGAGCTCTATTGAGGTATAATTGACATACAAAGAACTGAACATATTTACTGTGTGCAATTTGATGAGGTTGAACATACGCAAACACCTGTGATACCATCACCACAATCAAGGTAACAGACATATCCAATACTTCCCAGAGTTTCCCTGTGACCCTTTGTTTTTGTTTTGTTGTAAGAACACTTAATATGAGGTCTATCCTTTTAACAAATTTGAAGAGCACAATACTACATTGTTATCTAGGCACTATGCTGAAGATATGGAAACAACCCAAATATCCATTAACAGAGAAATGGACAGAGCAGAAGTGGTAGACACATACGATGAGATATTGTTAACTCTTTAACTGGATTATGTGGATGGCACCTGGTGCAATCATCTTCCTGTACTGCCATATTTTTATACTACCAAGGATAATGGATAAATTACTTTATCCATTACCCTAGGGAATCTAGTTTCCTAAGAAAATATTTGACTTCCCTTCATGTCCACTTCTCTCCCATATATTTCTATTCGAGCTACTTCAATGGAAGTTCCATGATTACAAATATCTATTCTCTGAATGGTTACTTCAAGAGACACAAAACGAAAACTAACCACTATTTAATGAATTAAAGCCACTGACTTTCAACCACTAGCCATATCAGGATTTCCTTCACAAGTTGTGGGTCATACTAAGTATTCTCAAAAGACGGAACAGTAGTTCAAAAAGACAAGATTAAAATTAATGTGTTTTTTGGTAGTTAACACTGACAGAATAACATTCCTTAGACTAGTTACCAAGTAATTGAGAATGTCTGAAAAAGTTGTTTTAAAGAGAGCTGTAGATTTTTTTAATACCCCTACTCAGTAGTCCAGATATCCAAATACTTAAAAATAAATGAGAAAAGGAGATAAAGTAATATTTTGAGAATAATCTCATCAGCCAGTGTGCGTGAGCTGATATAAAGCATTTAAAACTTAGTATGTGGGAAGAGACACCCTGATATACCATACTAAGTAGTGGCCTGTTCTTCTTTAAGAATAGATTAAACAATCATAAAAAGAGCGATACTTAAAAATTGAAAAATGCTTAAATATTAAAAGTAATTCTTCTCATAGAAAATATTAATAAAAAGAGGACTGAAACATTTATCTACTTATTACACAGGGTGCATACATGAAACAACACATCCTTTTAAGTCACATGTAGCTGTCTTCTGTAACGATCCTACCTCTTTCCCTTCTTAGTAAATTTTCAAAATAAGTTATTGAATCTATGTCCTACCCTGCCATGTCCTCTCCAATCAACTACAATCTGACTTCCACTCATCCCGAAAGTGCTGTAAGTCAAGTCAGCATTGATCTCCTAGGTGCTCAAGCAGATGAGCCGCGCTCTGTCCTTACCCTGGCTGCTCACACTAAGACATTAGGGGTGGTGCTTTAAAGGTGCCGCATTTATTGGCTCCACAGAACCATTCTTTCCCGGTTCCTATCCGGTCCTTTAGAAATCTCCTTCACAGCTTTTTCACTAGCTTTTCTTTCTCTGCCCATCTCATACATGCTATAATCCCTGGGGTTCTGTGTCTAATCATATTTATTTTCCTTTTATGTGCTTTCCCTGGTCAATCCAATATACTATTAGTTTTTCAAATAATAAGGAGAAGCTCTGATTACCAATCTACATCTCCAGCCCAAACTGCTCTCTTGGCCTCCAACCCCATTGCAAATACAAACTGAATAGCCCTACCTCCAATTCAACATGCCCCAAACTAAATTCATTCTATTTCCCCTGAAACATGCTCCAGTGCAGGCCAAGTAAAGCAGAGGCATTGCTGAAGTCAGCTTCTTGTGAAGGCAGTTGAGCCAACTAAAGAAGGAGGTCAGTATCATTGCTAAGATCCAGCTGGCACAAGAAGCATGGGGCATTAAGCACAGAAGTTTCATCTCTTGCCACTGATAATGACTCCAGCTGGAAACACAATTAACTGGAACTCTAAGGAGGCACAAAGACGGCTCAGATTCACAGTGATGGGGCTGGAGGTCAGGGTGAACAGGGAGACAGAGGGCAGGGGGCAAAGCTTAACCCTGTGTTATCCTTTAGGAAGAACAGCAGGCGCTGCCTGCCACAGAGAATAAATAGCAAGTCATGGTGCTTATGAAGACAGCCTACCGTTGGTACGGGGGACACGATGACAGCGAGGTCAGGACTACGGAGTTTGTGCCAATGAGGAGGAGGGACTGTGGCTCATTCACGTGTGGGTGCCAAGCTAGCCCAGAAAGCAGGGTCTCGGTGTATGAGTAAGATTCCCTGGCATGCCAGTGCCTCCTTCCTCCTCTGGAGGAGGAAAACTAGAGGAAATGTAAGTTTCCCCTTTCACTTTTTCCTAATGCTAAAATACTTCAACGACAATCCAGAAACATTCTCCCAGCATCTTTGCTGATTCCAAATACTACAGAAACATAGACTTGTCACTATAAAAATAAAGAGATAAGTAATGAGACACATAATAAGCTTTAAAAGCCTAAACAAAGACTGACTGAATTTCTTCCTGCAAAAGAAACTTATACATATGGAAAATTTCTAAAATGTCTTTTTAATTTGTGTCCTCAATGTGATTCAAGTAGACATTTCAGATATAAAAAGGAAATAAACAATCTGTGATCATAAAAATGTGCTTAAAAATGAAAAACATGATTACCAAATTTTAAAACCACAATGTAAGAAGAGAATGGCAGATAAAATATAGCATAAAATCAAATCAGTGACTTAGAAAACTACTTCAAGAAATATTCTGAGAACACACAAAAAAATTAAGGGATGAATATAATAAATAAAAATGCAACAGATAAGGAAGATAAATTCAAAATCTCTCATATCAAAATAATATGAATTCCAGAAGGCATAAATAAAACAGAAACTGGGAAAATAATAATTAAAGAAATAGTAGTGACAATGCCAGTCAAGACTGCATTGGAGAAAAACCTAAAGGAACAACCTAGAACATCTCTTTTAGCTCGGACAAAAATGCAATGCCCAAAAAACCCCAAAAAATGTAATGCCATGCTACTGTCAAAAAGACCACAAATAAATGTTGGTGAGGATGTGGAAAAAAGAAAACCTAGCACCCTGTTAGTGGGTATGTAAATTGGTGGAGCCACTATGGAGAACAGTAAGGATCGTCCTCAAAACACTAAAAATAGAACTACCATATGATCCAGCAATTCCACTCCTGGGTATACATGCAAAGAAAATGAAAACACTAATTCAAAAAGATACATGCACCCCAATGTTCACAGCAGCACTATTTACAATAGCCAAGACATGGAAGCAACCTAGGTGTCCATCAACAGATGAATGGATGAAGGTGTGGTACATATATACAATGGAATACTACTCAGCCATAAAAAGGAATAAAATTTTGCCCTTTGCAACAACATGGATGGACCTAAAATGTATTATGCTGAATGAAATAAGTTAGACACAGAAAGGCAAACACTGAATGTTATCATTTATGTGTGAAATCTAAAAAACAAAGCAAACAAATATAACAAAACAGAAACAGACTCACAAGCTAATTGTTACCAGTAGCGAGAGGGGTGGGGGGAGGGACAAGGTAGGAGGAGGGGATTAAGAGGTACAAACCACTATGTATAAAATAAATAAGATACAAGAATATATTGTACAGCACAGGGAATATAGCCAGTATTTTATAAAAATAACTTTAAATGGAATATAATCTATAAAAATACCGAATCACTAGTAGTATGCCTGAAACTAATATAATATCGTAAATCAACTATACTTTAATTTTAAAAAATGTAATGTCATAAAAAGGACAGGAACTGAAGGTCTGCCAGGCTCTGGTTTCAGAGACAGCTAGAAAGAGCAGGAAGTATGACTCTGGACAAGTAGGAGAGAATCAAAGTTCCTCTAAGTAGAAGGACAAAGTCAAACTCATCAAGAAACCAAAAGCAGGGATGGAGTTCCTTGTTCTTGAGAAGAAGCTGAAAATCAGTGCTGGTGACCACTTTGGAAAGCTCTGGCTTATAAGAAGCTTTGTGCCCTGGAAAGGCAAGGAACACAGACATGGCCTCAAAGCCAAGGAACTAGACTCGTCGTATGAAAGGACAGAGTTCAAAGTGAAAAGAGGGGGCACAGTGGTTAAGAATCCGCCTGCCAATGCAGGGGACACGGGTTTGATCCCTGGTCCGGGAAGATCCCACATGCCACGGAGCAACTAAGCCCGTGCGCCACAACTACTGAGCCCTCGTGCTACAACTACTGAAGCCCGCACGCCCTACAGCCCGTGCTCCGCAACAAGAGAAGCCACTGCAGTGAGAAGCCCGCGCACCGCA